AGAATAGAGAAGAGAGAGAGAGGCTGGGACAACTGGTCGCCTACACGGAAGCCACAAACGGTCGACTTGACGACAAAATCCCACTTTCCGACGCGACACAACCTCATTACCGACCCAATAAGGACATGTTCAGAATGCCCAATTCCAGATCGCCAGAAGACATAATCGCGTCGCAAGAGGCAAGAGCTGCCGACAATAACCGCTGCCAGACTGATTCCTCAGAGAAGCATCTGCCGGCCAGAAGTGGACGCGAAAGTGGCGACAGTTGTATCCGTGGGGATGGCAACCAACTGGCAAGTACAGCCGTGGGCAAAGTTTGCAATAGCAGCATAGTTTCAGGCGTTCCGATTGACGGCAATCGTGACGAAAGTGAAGTTGACATGTTGAATGAGGCTTCGGAGCATCTGCTTTTTGCCAGTCAACCGCCAGCCACCGGATACAAGTGCAAAATCTGTCACCAGGCAAGTTGATGTTGTGAAAAGTCTCTTCATAAATGAATTTACAAACGGAAGATATTGTTGGCATTACTTTATTTCTTTTAAAACAACTCGGATTCCACTGAGACACGATGGCAAAGTGACAATCACACAATTTTTGTCAAATAAACGCTTACATTTTAGAAGTGGTCCGACATCGTTTTCGCACATTTGTCGTGTTGCCACGGGGACCCAGTTAGGTGCACCTTGTCCGAGATCTTGTGCTACAGTAATTATGATAAGTACTGGCGTTTCACCCTGGACTTGGTACATTCCCAGTCAACATGAGTCTTGTCATTCTCAGCACCAAGCTACAAATCGTCAAAGAGACCATCACTTTGCCACTTCTGTACATCGAAAGGAGGCTGCGATTAAAACAGACGCCACAACATTTGGGTTTTCGTGTCTCAAATTGTAGGCATGACGTCCAAGATGGTGTAGCTCCTATTTTTGCATAAAAATGGTTTGACTTCATTTGGGAAATTTGTTCTGGTTGTCAGGGCGACGTATACGATGACAGCTTGTTCGAAGTCATCAAAATGTAAGTAAGCATGGCTGGTATTAGTAGTAAGAATTATTTTCTTTGACCAGAAGTACTTATTGCAGTGTTTTGACAATCTGTAGTTCATAGTTTGCTCGATGGTTGGAAAGCCAAGATTGCGTTGCTTCAATTCTTGTGACAGAAGGTGACAATGCTCAATGGAGATGCCGATGAAACATCTGAGAATGTACAAATGACACTGTCTGACTACGATGGCAGATGACTCTAAACAAGATTAGTTCATCTAGGCCTCTCAGACAGCACGACCAAAGTGCGAAAACGACGTAAACCCACTTTTGGTTCCATCCTAAGAACTCAAAATTAAGCTGTAAAAAGTTACACGATTTGAGATAGTTCCACAAAATCAGGGCTAGAATCTCTTAGGCAATTGTGTGCAACAATAATGAGATCAATCGTCAAGTTCAGAAGGGTTAAAATATTACAATAATATAATGACGCAAACTACGTCCTATGAATAAAATATTAAAAGCCATTATAACTGTACTATTATAAGTAGTATTAATTAAAGTATTTATATTGATGACCTTATATATGCATATATAATAACTAGTTTATTATTATATCATGTAATAGTAATAATATTGTATACATATTATTATATAATATGAATAATAAAAATAGTATCATTGATAATTTATTGTAGTAATATATTAATAATTGTTTATACAAATATATTTTGATTGACATTCAATATTTTATTGTATAAAATAACATCAATACTAATTTATTTTAAATACGAATTAAGTATTCGTATTATTAAACGTATCATTTTGATTGGCTAACCCTTTAATAAGTACTTGATTACTCTTCATCGTTTAGATTAATTTAGTGGATGGATAGTGGACATTCTCTCATAGACTGTAAATGAATTTAGCCTATCCTGGTTCTTTACGAAGTCTAAATATTTGATTTCGTCTCGGCCTCATCAGCACCTTGAACGGGATTTGAGACAGATTCTTGTAAGTCGACAAGACACGATCACGTTAGGGTGTTATTGTGTCATATAGAAACTTTAGTTCTCCAGCCTGACGCGGCCTCTCCCGAATCACGTTTATGATGGATGTGTTGAGGTATCAAGAGTGCAATTGTCAATTGAATCTATGAGACTACTTATATTCGGTATAAGTATTATTCAAAACTATTCTTAATTCATGAATAGGAACCCATATTCTGATGGGAAATACTTCGCCTTAGTTAAGCTAGGATGAATAAGTTCTTGGTTAAGAATTACTGAGGATTCCTGGACATACTCGTTTCTAATATAGTTAACGCCTTATAAACTAATAGCTAATTCTCCATTGAATTTCCCAAAAGACCTACTCCTATGATTGCAGGAAAATTCAGCTATCCTAAATGAAATATAGTGAATGGAAATTTAATGTTTACCTCATCAACAATCTCACTTTAAATGTGTATTTTATTGAAAGACTTATCCACCCTGTCAGCCAATTGAGGCACTTCATAATGATGCGCCCTCATCAGTTTACAATGTTGTGGACCGTTTGGGAGGCAATTGTGGCGAAAGTTAAACTATACGTACTTAAATGCGCCTAAGCAACGCAAGGTGACTTATCTTTTAGCAATAGATTTCGCCTAATTTATGACAAACTCATTTCTTCTACTCGGCATGCACGATGAAATGAGAAGCTGGGGGTAATCATCGTTCTATTCAGCATATATACTTACTTAGATAAGTACGAACTTCTTCAATCCAACTAGAAATGGAAAGAGATGCTAGATGATGAAGATACTGGAAGTATAGAGAGATAAATAGTCTCTTGAATACTCTGATTAGATGCCATTCTTTGACATAGGCGAGCAACCAAGTCTAGCGACCGATACGTTGAGTCAAGATCTGTATGGGTGAAACATAAACTGACAGTAAGCTTAGAGCTTAGTACAATTTTTTTAGAAACATGAAGATCAGGCGCCACCTCGAAATTTTCTTCAATCTGTCATCCGAAGATTTATAATTTTTACCGGGCAACCATGACAACATTGAAGCAATGAATAGACAAATGGAGGATACATGGGCGAAGTAACTTGCAAAGGTCAGATCTCTATCTCAATGGCCCGGTTGACGGAAGTAATGACCATTTGGCATGTTTTTTTAACTAATTTCTAAAAGAATCTGGTCATAGTCAACCGAGGATAAGGATAGTAAATGTTTGACCTAGTGTGTGGCTTTGTTCAGATTCGACCATAATCATTCTCATGATGTAGCATCTTGTCCAGTGTTGCTAAGGTACCATGTTACCTCGATGACTTAAGGATAGATTTCTAATAGGGTCGTTTACATCGTCACGTTCAGAGATCATCAAGCATCACATTTTTTTGTCCGCTTTGAACTGCCGACAAAATGGTTTGTTGCAATAGATTCTAGAGGATAGTCCGACTCTAAAAAATTTCAAGGTATTTATTCTGGATTACGTCATATTTCGGAGTCAGTAATTTTATAGTGATGTTCTAAACTAGTTTGTTTGGTAATCTAACATTTGATGATTCGACTGATACAGAAAATTTACTTTAAGATGGGAGTTTATTTTGTCCTTTTCATTTTGAACACACATTAGAAAGCTGTCCTGTCAAACGCTGTATGCTTTACAAAGTATTTTTGGTGTATTTTCATGATCTACTTGTATTAGTTATTTTTTACAAAGATGTTTCAAATACAATTACTTTACGCAATTCATCAACTTTAATTTTAGCTTAGGGTCGGCTAAGAGTTGTGTTCTTCGAATAATCTACAAAATGGGCCTTGCACATTATTTTAAGAAAACATAACATCATAATATTATAATTTCACAGAAAATAACTTTACGGAAAGACTGGTTTCCAAATAATGGTCCAGTGGCCCCAACAAAAGGCTTTTCTATTTAATTATATATTTGATAAATTAAGCACTAATGCACGCATAATTAAACTACGAAAAAATTAGTCAAATAATGCCAGACATATTATTTTAATTTAAGTTAAAGTATCCATTTGGAATTTACACAATAAAAATTCCAGTTGATTTTACTCGGTTTTGTCTTCTAAGAGTCTTTGACAACTTTATCTGGTTATCATTAGCATCCAGAACGT